TTTCAGCATAGTGAGCATCTTAGGTTTTTGTTCCATAAGCATTACTTCAGAAGTTGGAAGGGGAAAAAGTCATTTAGTGTATTGATATATTGTATTTGTGTTTGCAGGTATATGGACAGTGCAAAGCTGCTATCTTCATCAATAAGGTGCATAGAGTGGAGCGCCTCTACAAATACAGCTGTGTTATCAGACCAGGTATGAAAAATATTAGATAGATCAAAAAAGGAGTTGCAGTTTTCACTTAAATGTAACCATCACATCTATGATGAAATCCAGTTCTACATATACAGCAGCATACTTTATAAAGGAAAAATAAAAACAGGCTGCACCTTATTACACAATTTGATGAAATTACAGGTTTTGTGCAACACCAACATTTAAAACCACTTTTTTTTTTGTTCTGCTGAATTCCTGCAGGTACAGTGATGGGGGGCTGTGCCGGCTGTCCAGGTTCAGCTCGCAATCATGAAGAAGCTGAAATTCAGAAGACTGTGACCCAGTCTCTGGAGAAATTCCACAACCAGAGCAGGCCGGCTAATCGTTTCACTCTGCTCAAAATCTCCCGTGCTACTTCACAGGTAAGATTACCACAAATACAAAAGTAAAATTAAGATATGTGACATACAAACATGCTATCTAACCAAATACTTACTGTGGATGAGTGCTAATTTTTAAAATTAAAGACATCCTGTCTCTGAGTAACACTGAAAAACTAATGCACATAGTCATAGTTCTAGGCTGAACTACTGTAAATCATTATTGTCACTGTTAAATACCCGAATTCTTTGATCTTCGAGCTGAAGGAAGAACAACACTCGGTGTCTAAATGCTCAATCAACAATCACTTGTTGATTGAGCTGCTAGTCCGGCAGATCTCGAAGTGTCTGACAGTCACACAAACTCTTATAGCCTCAACCCCCCTCCAAAGTCATAAAAACTTAAACATTCACATTCTTTCTATCTCTCAGCGAGCCTAAGTTACGACCTTGGCTTCCTGTTTTTCTCCTTCTGTGTAAGATTAGGGAGAAAATCCTCATCAGTATGCTGTGTTCTCTCTGTAATCAGAAAAGCAAGGCCATAATTCTCTACAAACAGTATTTCATTATAAATCAGCAGTATGAAGTACCATAAAACAGTATAATTCATTCACAGTAAATCAGCAATATAGTGTAATACAAATCAGTCTAATAAGTCTAATAATTTCCATCCATCCATCCATTCGCTTCCGCTTATCCTTTTCAGGGTGGCGGGGGGGCGCTGGAGCTTATCCCAGCTGTCATAGGGCGAGAGGCAGGGTACACCCTGGACAGGTCGCCAGTCTGTCGCAGGGCCAACACACAGGGATAGACAACCATTCGCACTCACATTCATTCGCACATTCACACCTAGTGACAATTTGGATTATCCAATTAACCTATCTCCACAAGTCTAATAATTTCACCTTTTCTAAATCAGGAGTATAATGCAACCTAAGACAATCTAATGATTTCACAATCTTTAATTAGAGGTATAATGTAGCATAAGACAGGGTATTAATCCCACATCACATTGTGCGAAAGGTTCACTGAAAAGCTCTCAATCAATCTGAAATACAACAGTGAAAACATTAAATAGGATAAGAAAGATCCTATATTCATTGTGGACTCTCATTTAGATTGACACGTTATTGCTTTTTTGTGTTTGTGTTTCCAGGTTGTAGCAGGTACGAATTACGATGTGGAATACACCATCCAGGAGACCACCTGCCCCCACAGCACAGAAACAGTGACGGCTGAGAACTGCCCCCCTATGGACTGCGAGTTTGCTGTGAGCCAGGAGAAAGAATTATTAGTCTCACTCCTGTTATTGTTGTAATCATACAGGTTGATGAGATCACTGAGTGCTGTATGACTTCTCTAATCGGGGTCATTTCAAGTTTTTTTTTCTTTTTCTCTTTTCAGCACAAAGGCTTCTGTAAGGCAACCCGCCACCGGCCTCTCTGGGGTGAAGGACAAGTCGACGTCGACTGTGAGATCTTTGAGCCTGACGTAAGACTCACTAACATGTCATATCTGTATTGTTCAGATACCTTTCAGTCGCATAAAGCATATGTGATGAATACTGTGATTTGAATTGGACTTCAGTCGTCAGCTTGATGCTGCAGTAGTTAACGCGTTCATCTCACATGTGAAAGCCCCCTGATTCAAGACCTGAACAAGATCCCAACTCCCAATCTCAGGAGGTCACAGCGAGCATGCTCCTTGTGCCAGTTCCAAGCCTGGATAAATGGGAGTTTTATTTCATATATGCACCAGAGCTGGTGTGGGAATACCCTGGGAAATACAGAAGAAGACAAAATATCTCAAAATTTGAACTATTGCCACCCTCTTCTACTAAATCAACACAAATTACACTACACCTCTAATGAGGAAAAACTACACCAGTGGTCATTTGGATTTTTATCTCACATTGAAAGGCTTAATCAGTAACACAGCTTTAAATTAGAGCCCCAAAGAATCATTCTTTAGACTTGAGAATCAGACTCGAGTGATTGAAAGCTGTTGTGAACTAGCATCTGTGAGTGAATCATTGACATTTAAAAACATTTTAAATTTACATTGAAATTGCACCATCTAGCTGACAGGCTGAAGTAGAGTTGAGCAGGCAGTGATCTGCAACACAAGCCTGTGTCGTCAATGAACACATCCTTAAGCTGTAACAGTATCCAAATGTATGAACTGAAAGATAAAATTCCACACCCCTTAAGAAGGGGGGACATAGCTAGGGACCCCGAAGTTGTTCTTCGTTGTTTTCATTACAAAGATGGCTGAACCAAAGCACATTCTTTAAGCACATACTCACATCTCTACTTAAGGTTGCTTAACTACAGTATTCTGCACATGCCTTAATATACTGCACTCTCTATCTCTCCTTCAGGCATCTGAGAGGGAGAAGCAGCTCCACCTGCTGGGTGTAGAGACTGAACACACCCATGATGACACACACTCACACAGTCACCTGCATGAACACGAGCACAGCCATGGGCACAGACTTGGGGCCACACCCCACAAAGACCCAGAGGGAATAGTAACAGTCTTGCCTGCCCTGGACCAGCCTGTGACCCTGCCTTCCTTCCCCGATGTCCCCGCCGGTGGGCCTGGAGTTGGAGTCACTCTTCCACTTAAGCCCGACCCTCAGATTCCTGGAGAAATGGAACCCATCATCGAGCCTTTCCCAACCTCAGTCTCTTCCCAGTGCCCCACCAAAGTGGGAGGAGATCAAGGTGTGGTAAACCTCTTTGCTAGGGACCCCATATTCAAGCCAGCTGCATAGTGTGGTGCATGAAACTGATCTCAGAAATACACACAAAGGCTCAAGTGTGATGATGTTATATTACACAGTGAATATCAGTGATTGCTAACTTTTTCTGTCACTGTAATAAAGACAATGTGCAAAAAATATTGAATTATTGAACTCTCCAATTTGTAGTATGTGTGTGTGTGTGTGTGTGTCTGTGCGTGTGTGTGTGTGTGTGTGTCTGTGCATGTGTGTGCATGTGTGTGCATGTGTGTGCGTGTGTGTGCAAGTGTGTGTGCGTGCGCATGTGAGCGTGTGTTTGTGTGTGTGTGTGTGTCTGTGCCTGTGTGCGTGTGTGTGTGTGCATGTGTGTTGTGATCACATTGTTCAGGGTGTAGTTTTCTCATGGTGGTTTAAGTCTAGAGGAAGCTGAGATGGCGTCAGGAACATGTGATGTCATGTTAGTCATCAACAAACTGATGTGATTAGAGGGACTGAGAGCAGCTGGGCGTCTGCTTTTCTGCTCAGTCACATCAGTTTTTCTTTGTTGCTATGTAGGATTCATCTTTCCAGTAACTTAAAGGTGCTGATGCCATTTGGCAAGCAGGTAGATTCAGGGGGAAAAACACTGAAGGCGCACTGTAGGTGCGAAGGGTCTGATGTCTACACACACGTGTGCACACTGACCATCATCTACCAGCACTCTGCATCTCAGCTCCTCTTTAGCTGCTAATACATGCTAAAGCCTAACCAGGCAGCATTCACACACACGCACACCCACACACACACACACACACACAGCACTGCTCCATTACCGGCAGTTCCCTGTGACTGAAGATTCCTATGGTAATGGTGATGTGGGGCTGCCCTGGCTGCCAGCTGGCTCACCCCATGAGTGATACTGTGTGTGTGTGTACATGTGTATGTGTGTGCGTGTGTGTGTGTGCTTGTGTACATGTTTGCGTGTATGTGCATGTGTACGTGTGTGCGTGTGTGCGCGTGTGTGTGTGCTTGTGTACATGTGTGCTTGTGTACATGTGTGCGTGTGTGTGTGCTTGTGTACGTGTGTGTGCGTGTGTGTATGTGTGTGTGTGTATGTGTGTGTGCTTGTGTGTGTGTGTGTGTGTGTGTGTGTGTGTGTGTGTGTGTGTGTGTGTGTGTGTGTGTGTGTGTTTACATGAATGCAGCATGGGAGAGAAGCAGAAGAGGAAAAGAGGCGGGCTGGGAGTAGCAGGGGTGACAGAGGAGTGTGAGCGGGCTCAGTCTATTTGCTGCAGTGTGCTGTGCTCTTAAAGCTGAAGTGAGAATTACAGGCTGCTCTTTCTTTACCCCTGCCTCTAAAATAAGCTCATTTATAAAACATGACTCTTTACCTCTTGTCTCCTCCTCTCCTCCTTCAGCCCCTTGTGCACGATCCCTCCATCTTTGCGTTCCTTCATTTGCACATCCTCCCAAGGTTGATTTTCTCTCCCTTTACAACTGATGGGATGAGCATTTCATGCATGAAATGTCTTGTCCAAGTCCCCCGATACCTCTTGGCTTCTGCATACAAACCTAGAATCCAGTGATGTACATGTATCCTGGTGTTATGGTGTTTAATGATTTCCCTGGACTGAGCATTAGACAGACTGCATGTATCACTGGCTACATCAGCAGCATCTCTCTCACCCTTGCAGATCATTGCTGTGTGTGGCAGCCCTGGGTTGCATGTGCTCAGTTTTAGGTGTTCGTGTTCTTTGAGCCTGAGTGTATAATATCTCCTATCAGAGCAGGCGTGTTAGCTATTCAGTTTTTTCAAACTAGACAGAAAGTGTGAAACAACAGCCTCAGTGAGGCTCCTCACTGCTCACTTCACTCTGGTTTGGCCTTCTGTTCACTTCAGGATAAATCTGCTTTCTAAGCATTCAAACTAAAGCGCAGCATAGTGTGATTAGCAGGATATTACACCAATATGGTGAACAATGGAAATACTGATGATAACAAAAGCTCACGTCTTGTTCGGCTTGAAAACTTCGAGCAGACACTGAGAGTCATCGCTGTGCTGCTTTTAGCTCTCTGCTTACAAGATGTTTGTTTTTCTTCACTTATGAATTGAGCCTGGGCACTAACACAAGCCCACGAGTAACCAGGGTGTAAAATGTTTGATCAGTATGGACAGAGGCATATGGTGCACTCCCAGCCACTGTAGAATAATGAAGCTGTTTTTGCTTCCTTCCATCTGATTTAACCAATATTTGTGTATTGTGAATAATTCAATGGATTTTCTGCTTGTTGCAAAGTGCCAAGCCTTAACTCTGCATGTATAACTGAACATATTTATGCTAATCTAATTGTTTTACACTTAGATGGCTTTGTAGTGCTTAGTCTCTGGAATAAACACACCAGCAGAAGCAGCCTCAAAGCTTAGCGACCCCTCCCTGTTTCCCCAGCAGCCTCATGGGAATCCTCTGAAAGCAGTTGCTGACCGAGACGAGTGAGGCGAGGTTCTTCTAGGCAAGAGAGAGTGGCATATTTCCAATCTCAGTATGAAGCAAAGTATGCACCATGCATGGTTCGCTTTAAATCATTTCTGTATTGTGGCCATTTGAGTTGATGCTTTAATGCAGGCAGCTGCAGGGACTCACTGGGCAGACTGGGAAACAACAGCCTCTCACTCTGAGAAACAGCTTTTCGTACAGATGCACCAACATATCTGCAGATTCCTGTACAGCATGTTTGTGTCATTTATCCAAGTGTCTGAGCCTCACAGTGGTCAAACATAAACAGTCCAATCAAACACACAACACACGTAACCTAAATGTAAAAACTGTCTATAAAAGCTTTGATGAAGATGAGCGCACACTTCCTGCCTCCAGTGTCCTGCATCCTTTTTTCTCAGTCTCTTACTCAGCCTTTACCTTTAGAAGTTAAACTTCCACCCAGCATTGTTGTTTCTGCAACTTTTTCCACTATGTTCACCCTCGACATTCTCCTTCAGCATGTAACTGTTTGCATTCACCTCCAAAAGTTGATCCTGTTCATCTGGACGTAGCGTTTTCAGTGGGAGAAACGTTTCTTCGCTTTCTTTAGGAGCCTTTCAAGCTGGGATAACCACATTTACTCGGGGCCTTCTTGATGTTCTTCTGCCTCCCTGGTGCTGTGTCTGTGGGGATGGTGTTCGCTCTGTGTGGTAGCGTCCTGATGACGCCCAGTTTGTGCTCCAGTGGATGATGAGAGTCAAACCTTAGATACTGATCCGTATGCATAGGTTTACGGTACACGTCAGCTTTTAGATGTTCCACACTACTGATGGAAATCTGTTGGGGTGGGTACAGTTTCCTCTGCGGTGGGGTAGGGTGGGCTGCCCTGGGTCCTGTGGGGCTTGGCAGTGCTGCTGCCGTAGGCCCCGGTCTGGATGGACCTGGGCTCCCTTGTGGGTACCAGAGGACGGGGGTGCCTACTGGGGTCAGCGGGGGAGCTGGCCCTAGGGAGGGGCATCCACCCCTCCCTCCTTTTCCTCCTCATCCCCGGCTACCTCCCTCTTCCCGCTCCACCACACTCACCCACACAGGTAGGGCCTTGGGGTGAGGGTGTGTCACCAGGGTGCAGGGCAGATATTCCCCCCCTCCCCTCTGTTCCCTTCTGGCCACCTGTGCCTCAATTTTATCTCATAACTTAGACATCCACATTACTTACACTCTCATAACACACACATATATATAGGGCCTTGAGGGTGGGCACGTTAACGGCATCCAGTGGA